TATAATTATGAAAATTTAAAAAATATTATAAAAGAAACTGTTACAACAGTATCTCTCATAATAGATCTTTGATCTAGTAGGACTAAATATAAATACCTTAATATTAATACTGTATAGATTATACCTGATTTTAAAGTTAAAGATATAATGTTAAAAATTAAGTATGCACTATTCCTTCATACTACTGATGCTATTATTAAATTACTTTATAAATGTATATCAAGTTAGAATTTTAGCAGACGTATAATAATAATTATTACTGATAACAAATCAAACATGAAGACGATATTCCTTATTTTGACTAAAAAAGACCAATGTGAAGATATTAAAAGATATTCTTATATTGTATATACATTTCAACTAATAATCAGAAAATGGTTAGCACCTGTAGAAATTTTATTTACACACGTAAAATAAATAATTAATTTTTTTCAGAACAAAAATAGATAGAAAGATTGAAAGCAACATAAATTAAAATATGAGAATATAATGCATTGTATATAGAATGTACAGATACGTTAGAATTTTTCATACTATATCTAAGATAGACTTTTTACTTTAAGAATGCAATTATTCTACTTCAGACTAATTTTTATACAAATAGGATAAAATAGATGATAATAAATTAAAAAAATTATGTTATCTGATGAAGAATAAAATTTATTAGACAAACTAGTTGATATTTTAATTCTATTTGAGGAAGTAATATAATATTTTTTCAGAAATATATATGTAATGTTTAGTAAAATGATGATAACTATTAAGGAACTTATTTTAAATTAGTTACTGATTCAATAGATTCACTATTAAATAATATTAATTATAATAATAAAAATATAATATTTGAAGAAACTAAAATAGAAGTCAATAATGAAAAATTATAAGTAATATTACCAAAAAAAAAATTTCTATTAAAGATCCATTAAATATTAAAGGAAATTTATATAAAGTAAAGAATAATATTTATAATGCAATACCTTATTACTAGAATATTCTAAGTAATATAGGATTAATAGCTACTTTATTAGATTCACATTATAAGGAATTAGATTTAGAACTAGAAGATAAAAAAATAAAATAATTCAAAAACTTTGTGAAGAGTTTAATAAGCTAAATTCTGATAATTTAAATAAATTAATATTAGTAACATTTATAGAAGAGCCATCTAATCTAATTATACTTTTTTCAGATAAAGAATTATCATTATGTTTATAAAGGGAATATTGCAAGCATCATCAAAGTAAAAATAAAAAAATAAGTATACCTATAATAATTGATGAAGTAAATAATTATTTGTCAACATCATCTGTATTGAAAACAGAAGATCCATTAGATTAATGATGAAATTGTAAAGAAAAAATTTTAAACCTATCCCAAATTGCTGAAATTTTAGCTACATTCATGTCAAACGAAAGATTTTTTCTCATGCTAGTTCTCTAATTTTAGCAAAAAGAAATTATTTAGATACAAGTTTAATAAGACAAATGTTATTTTTAAAAGAAATGCAAAAGAGTGAGATGATATTAATGAATGCTAATTTCTTTTTTCTAATATTTTAATTTGTTAAATAAAAACATGAAATAAATAAATATGAATTGTGTTTAATTAAATATAGTAGTTATAAATTAAATTTATATTTATAAATAAAAAATATTGTAAATATTGAAAGAAAAAATAATCTTTTAACCAATAAAATTTAAAGATTATAGATGATCTGTTAAAATTCAGATTAGGATAAATCTGAATAGATCCTAATTTAAGAATATATTAGAATTAAGGATTAATCTGTAAATTTTTAAATTCAGATTACTATTTGAATTAGATAAATAGATTTGAGATTGGATTTAGGTGATATTTTAAAAATAAGATCAGATCACTAATTTAAATATTAAATGATATACAATCAACTCTTGTTATAATGAATTTTATATCCTAAATCTCAACTTTACTATAAGATTATAGTAAAGATTTTAAGAGCCAATTTATTATAACAAGAGTATTTTTATTATATTTGTTCAAAAAATTTGTTATATCAAGAGTTCGCTATATCAAAGTTAACTGTAAATAATGAAAAAGTATTCTATTACTTGCAAAGTTTTCAATTTTAAAGTTATCAAAAAATTATTAAATTTGTATATTTTCAAATCATTCGTTTAATAAAAATATTTTTTACAATATGATAATTTGATTTAACTGTATTATAAATTACTAACTATTTATTAATTTTTTCATTATGTAGTATCTAATATATCAGTTTAGTTTTAATGACGAAAAAATACACATATAAATCATGTGACCTTATATTTAACTGTAAGATCTTAGTAGACTCAAATACTAATTTAAGGATTACTACCCAGAGCAATCTTCCAAAAGCTAAACCCTCAAGGTTATTAGATCTTAGAACCACTATCAAATTTGAATAGAGAGATCACTTTCAATCACAGATACTTTTTAGTCAATTATTTTTCCTATTTTATCAATACCAATCAGAATTACTATGATCTTTGCTAGTATTAGAGTATTAACACATTATTGGAATAAATTTAAGATGTAATCATCTATTATAGAACTTAAAAGGTAAGTGGCTATCATATCCATATTATTAAACTCACCTAGAAATTAAACTGACCTCTATCCCAAGTGATAGCTTAATTAGATGATTACTGTAGCAGTACAATGCAGTCTATTATCAACTATAATTACAACAGGAGTATCCTGAAGGTATTACCCAATCTACTAATTACTGGTTAATCACTTCCTTACTTATGTAAGAGTCTCTGAATTTGAAGATGTGAGATAATATCTATAACACATTTATTAGCAAAAGGCCAAATTTTTGTCAATCCCTAGCTTCATTTGTACCTCAGCTGAGACCTGAACTTGTGGCTATTGCAATGTAACCTACAATAAAAGCTCAGTTGTTGCCAATTGAACTAGGATCGCAAATCCTACTAACTATTTATTAATTAATAACTCAGCCAATATATTAATAATTAATAATTTCAGAGGTCTCATCACTATTCGAGAGAGTATATTAAATTCTTGAATTAAAATTATCTAAATAAATAAAATTTATAATACCTTATCGTTATATACTAAATAAACAAATATTATTTATACATAAAATTAGTATATCATTGTTTACTGAAGTTAAAAATTGAGTCTCATTTTGCATTACAGAATCCACTTGTTTAATAATATCTTATATCTAATTCAAATGTAGATTTTGACACTCTGCATACTTAAACAAATAGTACTTAATCAAAGGAAAGAGATAATAATATTTGTGCTGTAAGTTTTTTCACTTAGTTCACTGCGAGTTGTACTTGATTATACCACCAATAAAAGTGCATTAGAAGAAAATATTTACATTAATTATTAGGTATAAGGAAAATCGCTTCAGTTTTCTAAGATACGTTTGGTTATTTTTATCAATGTGCTCTCATTACCTTTCTGGCTTTATTATTTGAATTATTAAAATTGCTCATAAATTCGTTATAACTGAATCAGTATAGTACATTTCATATTTTTCCTGGGTTCCAAAAAAATACTCTCATCTACGTCTTAAATTTCTTACCATGAATGAGTCAACGCTAATAACTATGCTAGTTTTAGAATCCCGCCAAGTAAGATTTGATAAATCTATATTCTCAAATGTATGCCTAAGCGAACCATAAAGATTTGCATCTGTCTCTGATGCAGGATGCTAAAAATACAATACGATTAGCTTTCAGACTGAGAAAAATTATATTTTCTTCATATTCAATGCTTTGAATCTTAAATGTTAATGTATCCAATCTCAGTCTAGTAAAATGCAATAATATGTACTGTTACATTTTGTTAATCTCAAACTTATTTATACCATATGCCATTTCACACATTCGCATTTTCAGAAATATTAAGGTATCATTGTTTTAACTAGAAGACATAGTTTTTCTGGGTCGGCATTCCCCAACCTATAGCTATTTTCATTTTAATATCTAACAGAATCGAATTTACTGCATGGCTATCACTTTTCTTACATAGTCAAAAGAAGGTAAAATGTTGTTTTCTATTGTCACAAATGAGATTCTAAGGTTCTTCCAATAAAAGCATTTTTATCTTTGCTAAATTCGTTATGATAAAAAATTTCACTTAATGAAAACGTATTAGTATAAGATACAACTTGAAATTTTATATACTGTCCTTTTAAAAGTAAATTTTCAGATTGAGATATGGGTAGGTAACATACAAAATAGCACCATTCTATTTTAGTAACTTAAATAATTTATTTTTTTGTCTACGTGATTTTTTAGTTAGATCATACGCGAACTGTTTTCTAATTTAGCTTAGCAAAACGTTGTCAATTAATTAAGCCACCGACAATTAGAATATTATAATTCCAGACTCTTTTCTTAACAAAATGATATAGAAGCAAGCCAAAGCTAAACTAACCACTCTTTTTCCTGAGGAAGAGGGACGCGATATAATAAAGAGTATTCTTTTGAATAAGCTGTTAGATGAACGCTTAAAGTATTTCAAGGGAGGAGATAAGGAGATTGCTGCTGCACTTAGAATACTCTTGTTAAACTAAGGTAATGACTTCGTGACTTAGTCATTGGGGACATGAGGTAGTGAGTATATAGAGAAGAATAGGATAGTAAGATGATTTTATTATGAATTTGTTGGAAGAATGTTATTATTAAGGGTAGCCAGTCTGAGGGATTGCGACAATGGGAACTGTGTTCCTTTTTCTTTTTATTTCATTTTGAAAATTTTTAATAATTATGATTTACATTTTAATTGATCTTCATTCTATTTACAACTTATATTTCTCTTTGGTTATTTGCCTACTTTGTTCTTGAATTACCTAGTTTATCCTTTTTTCATTAAAGAATCAGGTAAAAATAATTGTATTAGTCAAAAAATAGCTGTAATACTTGTCACAACATTAAATATTTTGTTTTACTTTCATATATATTTGCTTTTATTTCGTTTGGGATAATCTAAAGTTGTTTCAGATGAGCCTTTTATTGGAAACTAAGTCAAATTATCTATTGATCAAAAATAAATCAGCATTATATTTTCCTATTTTGTATTTAGATCCCATGTATCAACTCATGAAATATTGGTTACAAAGCCCAGACGAAATCCCTGAACGTTATCAACTTAAATATTTTCTTAACATGACACCAAATATGAAACTTCCTCTTTCTAAGGAAATGTTCTCTGCAATTCCAATCGTTGGACTATTTAATATAGACCCAACAGAACGTGATAAGTATTTTGTAGAAAGAAAATCAATAAGCTGTACTTTATTTTTTACTCAATTAATAATAAGTTTAATGCATCCTCCTGTAACAGGAAGAACAAAAGATTCATTTCACAGCTTTTGGGACACTATTATCAGCAAGTCACTATAAATATTTAGAAGTTATTCTAATGAATTGCTACTAATGAATATTGATTGTAATATCTCCAGAAGCATTACGATAGGTAGACTGATTTAAATAATTGACCAAAAGGTGGAATTATATCATATACCAACGAAAAGTTTTATAGGTCAAAATAGATCAGATTTTGTCTTATTAATGAGAAACATTTGTGTTGTTCATAGAGAAGAGAAAGGAGAAAATGGAAAAGGAGAATCTGCTAAGGAATTAATTGATAAATTCAATACTTGGAATTATGGAGACATTCCATATCTTTTTGGATACTATGCAAATACTGCTGCTGTTACCTTTTGTGTTCTTTATAATAATGAATAAGAAAATAATAGTAGTCAAAAAAGAAAACACCTAAACATTTGTAGCGAAAGACTTGCAGAATTTGATTTAACCAAATTAACACATAGATTCAAATTAATGAATTTAATTAGAAATATATGTAAGTTCTTTCTTATTTTGATTTTCAAATTTTATTAGAAATGCTAATTACTTTATATAACTTAGGTCACATATTACCTATGATAATTAACATGTGTCCTTCAAAAGAAATGCTAGATTTTGAAATTATAGTGCATGATAACGGAACTAATATTGAAATTAGCTATGGTATCAAAAAAATATTCCCTTCAGAAGATAAAGTTAAACATATAGAAAATTTTTATAGGATAATAAGTGTAAGTTTTAAAATGTCTTTTCATTTTCTGTCTTCAAATTACATTTTAACAAACACTTTATATAGAATTACAAGATAAAATATATTGATAAATTAGTTCTGTCTCGTAATAATATTGTTCACTTGAAGTCAAGGGGGAAAGGAGCAAAAACCAAAAAATCTTAATGAATTACTGAAAGTTTTGATCTATATATTAACTTGTTTAGAGATACATTTTTAGTGATATATAAATATATATATCGTTATTCATTATTAACTAATATGAAGATGTGTATTTAATTAGGGCTTGCATAATATAAAACCTAACCCAGTTATGCATAGAGATATATAATAGCCAAATGTTATACAATATGAAAATTAATATATTTTGATTGACTTTAATTTTGCCAGCTTTTCTCCTTTAAATAAGAATTTACAAAACTTAAATTCAGCTAATCATACTCCTGAAATGTTAATAGGTGAACATGATGTAACAGTTGATATTTGGGGTGTTGGAAACTTGATTATTTCAAGTAGTATAAATAAATTACCTAAAGAACTTTTATCACTTTTTCATTCAATGTATCAAAAAAATAAAATATACGGTCAAATGCATCTGATATACTTAAAATTATTAAAGGTTTTTTTGTAAAGGTAACTGATTTTTATTATTAATTAATTAATATTATTATTTATTTTATTTAGAATATAATTTAATAAAGTTTTATTTTACAGTGGTTTTCTAATGATGATTGGTTAAATCATTTTGAGAATAAATAAGAAATTAATACAAATTTAATTTTTTTACTTATTAAGATAATAAAAATATGTTTAATTTTTTTTTTCTTATTTATAAAATAAAAAATTATTTCTGCAAATAATGAATAATATTTAATAAATTAAAATAAAATTACAAAGTAAATAAAATTATATTTATATAAATTTTTAATAAATATTTTAATATTAAAAAAAAAAAAATTTGTTTTTAATGATTATCTATTATATTAAAATTATTATTTTTATAAAATTTTAGAAAGTAGATTTTATAATTTTATAATTTATTATTAAAGAATATATAGTCATCCTTTTTATAATCACATTATATAAATCTTTTATTATAAGCATATATTTTATAAGAACTAATTAGGAATACTAATGGTTACAGTCATAATCAATTATAATTGTGATTGATATTAATCTATCAAAGGTTTCTGATTGACTGACTGACTGATTAACTGATTCTAACTGATTTTGACTGATTGACTTGAGACTAAATAATTATATTTTATATATTAAAAACTCTTTGTATTAAATAATAAAATCAAATATTTTATTTTAATTATTTATAATTTAAAATTTTGAAATTTTGAAAAAATTAAAGTCTGCAATAATGCTACATCACTAAATAAAAATACAAAATAGTTTTAAAAAATACCATACTAGAATTGCTAAAGCAAAAATCAAAATTATTAATATTTGGTTAAATTAAAAACTTTCTATTAAACTAAAAATTGTCTAATTATATTATTATTATTAACTAATTGATCAACCAGTTAATTAAAATCAATCAGTTAACTAGTAAGTTAGTTAAAGGATTTTAACTGATCATTGATTGATCATGATCGACTATTACTATTCCTAAAACTAAAATCTATTAATGTTATATAAAAAAATCTCTTCATAATCACAATATTTTTATAATCATACTCTTTTAAAACTAATATATAGTAACAATATATAAAAATCTCTTTTATACTTTATATTATAATCACACTTTTTATTTTTAATCCTAAAGAATATAATTATAAAAAAAGATGATTATATAAAGAAAAAATATATTTTAACACCCTGTTATAATATTTTATTTATAACATCCTTTTTTATTTTCTTAGTAATAAATTATTTTAAATATTTTATAAATAAGATTTTTAAATATATTTTTACTTAATATACTAAAGAAGTTTTATAGACAAAATTTTTAGTTATAAATAATTTCTTGAAATTTTTTAAAAAATTCTTATTTTTCTTATACAACTAATCTTTTATTTTAATTTGCTAAATTATTAATATTATATTTGATCTTAAATTTTGATTAGATAAAATTGAGATGTTATAAATAAAAAATATAATATAATATTATAATTAGATTTATCCTTATATAAAATAATGAAATTAATTATATTTTATTTTTCTTTTAAAAAATTTACTTTTTATTAGATTTAAAAGAAATTTATTTAATTATAAAATAATTATATTTATTAAATAAGTCAATTAAATTATAATATTTTTATTTGATTTAATATATAAATACTTTATAATAGAAAAGAAAAAAATTACCAATATAAAAATTATTTTAAAATTTTCTTCCTATTTACTGTTAAATACTTATATTATAAAATAATTATATTTTAATTTTTTAAAGTGATATAATTTGATAAGGATAAGTATTAGGTTTAATATTATTATTAGATAAAAATTTAATAAAAAAAAACTGATAAGGTATATTATATATTTTATAAATATATCTAAAATAATATTACATATTTTTTAAAAAAATATTTATAATTGTTTAGTATAAATATTTTATAAATTTATGAAATGCTATTAAAAATCTTTATTCTATCAATATTAAAATAAAATATATTCTTTTATAATTATTTAGATATAAAATTTAATAAAAAATCATTTTTTTATAAAATTTTTTAAAATACTAAATAATATAAAATCAGTTTTAACATTAACAAGACAAATTTGTTTTAATATATTAAGATCATCTTTATAATAAATTAATATTATTATCTTATGATACTAATGACTAAAAATTAATATTAACGCAAAATTAACAAAAAGATTTAGCTTTTATTTAATATTTTAGGGAGAGTTCTGAAGGATTTATAAATAATTATTACTTTGAATAATAGTGTATATTTAAAATAAACTTTTAGAATTTTATCAAAGAATAAGAAATTCGTTACAATTATATTTGTTAGCATATAATTATTATTAGTATTTATCTTGTTGGCGATAAAAACTAATTGAGTTCTAATTATTTACAATTTATTATCTCTTATTATCTACTACCGTCTATTACTACCTAATATTGTTCGCCTTAACTAAGTCCTAAAGCTATCTTATTTATACTAAATTTGCTAATATAAATAAATAAAATACTAATTGATTATAAATAATAAATGATTAATAATACAAAATGATTAATAATATAATACTAATTTTCAGTCATTAATATTGTAAGATAACAATATACAGATCATAAATACATTAGATTTATCACTCTATGCAATAGGAAATTATCTAGTCTAAGTAAACTATATATCTCTATATCCTATATGAGAATGAGAGTTTAGCTCTTCATAAGTGTTAAAAAAAATTAATAAATTATTATACTCATCATCATTTATTGGATTATAATTATTTATAAATACCTGGAAGGAATAAGTATTTAGTGATAGGTTCCTGATATATTTATATGAATAGTTATTTAATACTATCTAACTTAAAAAAGATAATTTTACTTCACAGGCTATTTACAATAATAATACATAAGATTTAAATTATCAAAAGTAATACTAATACTAACTTTATGAATTACTTTTAATATATTATATCAATCAAAATAATTCATATTCTTACACAGATATATAACTTCTTCTCTATATAATATCCTCAAAGTAAAAAAATGTTATTGGTTTTAATTTTAAACTTTGATATGCCTTTAAAAATATTAAATAATATCTTCACTAATTTGATCTTAATATAAATAATGGTATCTTTTCAGATATTACAATATCAAAGAAAGGTTTAATGCCTATAACATTTATGATAATCTTTTGTCTATTAATCAAGTAACTACTAATATATAAAATATAAGTAAATACTTCATTAATATATTTTGTCTCATTACTTATAGTAGTAAGCATAAAGTATATAAGTTGCTTATTAAATAAGCATTACTAAAGTATAATTATCATCCTGTTATCATATTCTGCTACAATTAAATTACATGATAGAATGCTGGTTAAAGAGTTAGCATTATTATAACAGATGAGAAAGTCAGATCTAGAGTAATTAGTTTGATTAAAAATAGTTGAGATATACATATTGTCAGTTCAAAAAGTTATAATAATACAATATATTTTTAAAATATTTAATTAATTTTTTTGATAAGTGTAAAAAAGTGATAATGAACTTATTAAATGAATTAAAAAAGAAAGATATCTAAATATACAGAGGTGAACAAAAGTTTCTAGACACTTTTTTACCAAATATAAAACTTATAATTCCTTAGCATTAATAGTAAAAGTTCTAATATTATTTTATTTAGAGCTGGTTAAGACATACATTTTGTATTAAACTTTTAGTACTTGGTTGAGCCTTCCTTTGCCGCAATCATAGTCTGAATTTGCTATAATATGCTATTGACTAAATTTTCAATAGTATGCATCAGAATTTCTCGTCATGCTTTTTTAACATATTAGTCAAAGTCAGCAAGATTTAATGGTAGTTTTTAAATATGCATGAATGTTTTTTAATATCAGCCCATAAATTTTTAATTGGATTAAGATTAAGACTTTGAGCTGGCTAAGTTAAATATGGCTTTGTATTATTCATTAGTTAATTCTTTATTTTATCTCATTATTTTTCAATTTAGTAGAGATTAAGTGAATTAAAATCAAAACAACAAAAAAAAACATGAATTTTTTTATTTGATTATGTAAATAAATAATAGATAATCATATGATCAAAGTATAGTATTATAATTATATGATGAAAATTTTTTAAATTGCATTTATAAAGGTGTCCAGAAACTTTTGTCTACCCTCTATATATTTTAAGATAGAGATAACTTTAGAATTATTATATAAATATTAAAAGAAGCCTATATTTTTAGATAAGTATTTAGATATATAGGAGGTAGTCAGTAGAAAAGGGGAAATCCACTCTTTAGTCAAAAAGTTTTTTATTAGTTCACTTTGCTGATCATAGTCATGTGAATAAAACTAGCTTAATTTATAGATTTTCCCCTTTTCTATTAACTGTTCCCTATATGTATTTGGGTATAATAAAAGTATCTAAATGCAAATAAATATATTTTTAATAAGTGATACTTAGGGTATTTTTCTTTAGAATCTTATATAAATAATGGAAGAAGAATATTTTATCACTAATATGTACTTAGATATGGTATGTCTTTTTATCTTTATTGGTACTGACTTCAATCTTTCAAATTATATACCCAAAATTATCTGATTTTAAAAATCAAATGATCAGATATGATTTTTTAAATATTCTTGAAAGTAACGAAAAAGTAATGAAAAAGTATCAGAAACTAAAAGTACAGTAAATTATGATAATTTTGATTAATACTATTTCATAATTTCAATCAAATCTTTGGATAAAATAATTCAGTATCCAAACTGACATAAAACTAATTTATAACTGGTAAACTAATAAAATTACTCTAGTTCCTTACTAATTTTATGATACTTCTATAATAGTTTTTTAATAGTTTTATGAAAGTTTCACAATATTATTATGACATTATCAAGTTACTACTATAGCATCAAGCTGAAACTTAAAATCACATAATCAAAAGATCAGTCAGAATTATGATATAATGTTAGCTAAAATTAAATGCAAATTTACTGCGCCATCTGACATGATATTTTTTGTAATAAATAAGTATCAAAATAGATATAAAAAGTAAGTACTTCAATATAGAATTCAGCACTCAATCAAGTGCAAAATGTTAGCATCTTCAACATAAAAACAGGTATCCAAATAACTACAGAATTTCAATAATCTTATTATAGAATTTAACATGTAAATGACTCAGAAATAAAAAGAAAAGTATAGTATTTAAATTATATATTAAATGGTGGATAATAGTTAGATTATATAATAGTAAAAATGCAAATAGTAGAAAAAGTTTAAAAAGATAGTTAGAGCATAAAATAGATATCTGATATACGAAAATATATAGATTATATAGTGATAACTAGATTGTATTATTTAGATTATATGATAATAATTAGATTATATTATTTAGATTATATGGTAATAATTAGATTATTTAGTGGTAATATAATCTAAGATAAGTGGGATATTACCATATAATATAATTATATTATATGGTGGTATCCCACTAAAGAATCTAATCCTTTCTTATGATGGCAAGCACATGCTAAAGAATATCCAATTTTGAGCAGGATGGTATGAGATTATCTTATAATTTAATCAACAAGTATTACATTGGAACAGGCATTTTCAATTGCTAGAAATACAATTAGCAAAACATATAATCGCTTATTACAAGGTCATATTTGTGTTTAAAAAGCTGGATTGTTAATGAAATAGGAAAATAAAAAATTTATTTTTTAAGTTTCATTAAAAGAATATAAAATATGAGATTTATTTCATTTGCTCAAAAGAATAATATAAATCCTTTTTTTTTTTTTTTTGACCATTTTAATAAATTCAATAAAATAAAATTTCTCACATCAAAAATAGTATAATTAATTATATCAAAAATTGAACAGTAGTATAAAATTGAACAATATTTTAATCTAAATGCTTTTACTGTATAAAATCTTTATATATATTGCGGAGTGATCGAAACCTGATGGAATTAAACCAATTATGAATAACCGGTTCTTATTGAACTTGCTTAAATCAGTTTTAGGAACCAGTTCTATAGAACCGGCTCTGATCGAACCGAATTGAACTAGTTTTTAAAACCGGTTCTAAAGAACCTGGTTCGATTCAATTTTATTATGAGAACCGGGTTCATAGAACCGAAACCACCCCATCCCTACATGACACCGATTGTAACTTTAAAAAATTATCATAAAAAATTTAACTTTAAAATAAACATAAACCTTAAGGCGAATATGCTAGTTTCATTAGCTATGCTTAATTAACGTTAAATATTCAAACATTCGGCTTGAGTTTTCCTCATTAGGACACTTAGGAGCATAATGTCCTGTTTCTTGACATTGACATATACGACATTTACGTAAGTCCACCCACTACTTCAATTATTTTTTTTTTCGTTACTATATAAGTCTGTGCCCTTTGCTAGTTCCAACTTTATTATTTTCTTCATTAACGTTTAGTAGGTCTACCTTTACCCCGACGTACTACTGGATCTTGAATATCATCAGAATTATATACACGAACATCACCTAATCTTACGATGTTATTTGAAGTTCAATAACTGCTATTCGAGCTTTAGCCTCTCTTTTTTCTTCCTGTTTAGCAATGTAAGATAAAATAATTTCATATTAAAATGGCTCATTATACCTTGAAAATACGCACGAACCATTTTTCATTTTGAAACGTGTGAAACAAAACTTTATTTTGAGACCTGCTGGATAAGTAAATGGAAATGGAAAACGGGTAGAAAGGATATTTTGAGAGAAGGATACAAACCTATTTTACACGAAAAAAGTAAAGAAAAAAAAAAGAATGGAATGGTAGGATATTTCTGATATGAGAATGTGGCTTTGCACGAAAACATCACAAATTATCGATCAATAAAAAAATTATTAGGCGCAACAACTTGTAGGGCTATATAATTACACGGCCACATATACTTTGGCCGTGGAATAATTTGCAACAACAAAAGTTTAATTATCTGAACCGGATAAGTATAACGTAACTTCACGGGTTATCAGAGATTACTTCACAGTTCACGGTAAGCAATGCAAGATGGATATTTTGCCAGGAAGTGGCAAAATCCACCAATCAATGTAACTGTGGAGTAATACTATCAATAATATAATTACAATTTTTAGAATTTTTTATTAAATTAAAACATAAAAATTATTATAATATGGGACCTTTGCAATAGAAAAGGGGGGGGGGGGAACAGCCAAAAAAATCAAATTTACTTAATATGCCCAAATATGATTTTTATGTCAAAATATGTTCAGATTTAGCATTAATCCAATTTTATTTTTTTCCAGCTGTTCCCCCCCCCCCCTTTTTATTGCAAAGGTCCCATATAAAAAATTAAAATCTACAATCTAAGCGATAACTTTGGTCTTGATGTGATTAAATAAACTTGTTTAATATATTAAAAATAACTTTTTCTAAAATTTCATTGAGATTATTTTAAAAAAAAGGTTATTATTTAAGTATATTTAACAAGTTTATTAATCATTATTTCTGGAAATTGGAAATTCATGTTTGGGTCACGTTTCGTTTTTTAAAGTTTCGAATGAACAATTTTTATTGAGTCTAAAGATTTTTTTTTTTTTTTTCCGTGTAAAATAAAAAAAAAAAAAAAATTAAGGAAAAAAAAAAAAAAAAAAAAAAAAAAAAAAAATGAATCTATCAGATGAAAATATGCGATGAAGGAAAAAAAAAAATTAAAAATTTAAAGAAACTGTAAGCGATGTTCAGATTTTTGCCAAGATAACGAAAAAAAAGAAATGAAAAAGAAAAATGCCTATTTTTGTCATAACTTAAGAAAAAATTTTTTGCCATATATTTGCCATAGGATAAAGAAACAATTTTTGGAACCAGTGAAAAAAAAAATGATGAGAAAAAAAGAAAGCAAACTTAGAAAATTAATGATATAATTAAAAATTAATAAAATTTTTTATATAAAGTATTACTAAAGTAAAAAGTGTAATATAACGAGTTAGGGTAGGAAAAAATGCATATGAATGATGAATAAATTGATTTTTTAATGCGTGAAAAATTCTATACTTTAAAAAAAAAATGCTTGGGACGTAATGGTTTGAAAAGTTTTGATTCATCTATTTTATTAAAGAATGGGAATAAATGATGATATATACAAAAAAAAAGGGGGAGAAGGGGACGAGATTTGATTCTGAAAAACAATTCACGGATGAAAAAGGTCCAGCCGAATTCTATTCCCACCTTTTTTTTTTTTTTTTTTTTTTTTTGGAGAAAATCGAATTATGTATTGAAGAAAAAAATTTTTTAGAAAAATAAAAAAATTTTACAAGAAAAAAAGTTTTGTGCGAATAAACATGAAAAAAACGTAAAGTGTGTGTAAAAAAATTGCGACGAATATGCGTCTTTGTTCCCACCCTAAAGCAAGACTTTGAGATAAAACGAATTAATAATAATAAATTTTTAAACGGAAATTAAATTATCATTAAATATTATTTAACGAAAAAAAAAGTGGTTCATAAAGTTATTCAGTTTAATAACTTCGAAGAGCGCCAGCCGGGCTAAGCATTTTATAACCCTCAACTTCACCATCGTATCTGGTTTTCTTTACTGGTCTTCCCAATCGATGAACTCGAAGATGACGACGCATATTGCTTTGAACAGAGAATTTTCTTCCGCAACCTGGTTCCGTGCAAACGAACGGTTTCTCACCGGTGTGTGAATAAGTGTGAATTCGAAGTGAACTTGGACGTGAGAATCGTTTAGAACAATATGGGCATTGATAACGATTTCCACTTGAAGAACCGGTTGGCGATAATTGATCAACGATGCTCTTGTGAGGAAAGTGTTTTTGAGAGGCCAAACTTTCCAAGACCGTGTTCAAACGTGGAAGGGAAGGGGCGGTGGGCTTACAATCATAAGGGGAAATTTGCGTTATGGAATTTGGGTAGTAAGCGTATCTTTGAGGTTGAGGTTGAGCGTAAGAAATCGATGATGAGGAGTAAGACGAAGGTGAGTAGACAGGGGTTGGTTTAGCGCAACAACTACATGATTCTTCGTAGACTTGTCGAGTTTGTTGGGGGACTGGAACGTATCTTTCGGATTCATATCTTGGTTGAACCCCATAAGAGTCAAATGGAGAAGAATAATTGGCGGACGTCTTCATATCAGGTGATTCTGGTGGGGAGAGCAACGTTCTAATGTTACTGGTGTGTTGAGAGGTCTGGAGACCGCCCAAATGTAAAGAGGATTGCTTGTTAAGTGCAGCAAGATGATGTGCGTCAGTCGATTGCGTTGAGAATGATTGACGGTAAGGTGAAGTCATTGAGGGGGAGGTCGAGTTAGAATAACTTCCATTATATGCTAAAATGAAGAAGAAAAAATTAATATTTTAGAATAAAAAAAAAATAAAAATCTGAAATCTTTTTTACACGGGATAAAGTACTCACTTTTATCGATTGAAGGTTCAAGAAGCGCACTGATTGGAGGAAGGAAATTTTGACTTTGTTGGTTTTGCATTTTTTTTTTTTTTTTTTTCTCGAAATTCGTTAATTTTGTTTGTGAAAATTTATGAAAGAAGCCTGTCTGAGACCGAAAGGAAATTTTTTCAAAAAATGAAAAGATACGAAATACTTTTGCTAATGAACTTTTTTTTTTAAAAAAAAAAATTCTTCTCTCCTTATATATAGAAAATATATACAAAAAAAAAGAAAAAAAGTCGAACAATGGTTACAAATTTGAATAGATAAATAGCGATTTTTTTAAAAGAAAATGTTTTTTTTTTTTTTATTAAATATTTATTTTCGAATTTATAGCAACAAAAGATATGTTGAGCGATGAACACTGTTTTGAAAGCGGGTTCTTAACCGTGATTATTTATAGAAATTTTTTTTTAAAAGGTTTTTCCATCCATTAACAAGAATTTTTATTTTGTAAATATTTACCTACGCTAATGCATATTGTAGATTCTTTTTTTTACAACAAAAAAATCATCTTTTTTAATTATATAAAAACCTGATGTGTATTGATATTATGTTACATTTTAAAAAATATCAATATGATCAAAAATTTTTTTTTTTGAATCATTATATTACTAATTACAGGCACATGTAAATCGACCATTATATAATTCAGATTTTTGCCACTTTAAACTATTTTCCCTGATTACTTAAAAGAGTAAAAAGATGCATAGACGATTTTGTCAAATAATTTTCAAAGGATTTTCATTAATCTACGGGGAATTTCAAAAAATATATCCAAATTTAAAAATGAGAAAATCTGTTGAAACCCTTAAAGCACGCGCTAAGAATCACTCTAAACTTTAATAATGAGAAAAACCGAAATTAATTTTTGAAACGTTTTGTAAATCTCTGTTGATCTATCTGTATAAATTCTCTTCTTTAATTTGTAACTTCCCTAACGGAATTACCGTAAAAGTAACTTTTTGTCTTTCCTTGTTATTTTTTAATACCGGTATTGACCGAAGTCAAGCTTGGGCTTAGCTCGTAAAATACAACGTTTCACAGCGTGGGAAGATCTCTCTCTTTTTTTTTTTTTTTATTTTATTTATTTTATTTTATTTATTTTCAATAAATCTTTCATATATATATCGTATGAGGATGAGGTTGGGTTGATCATTTTCTAAAAACAAATGAATAAATAGAAAAATGGTTGATCGGAAATCCCGTTGTCATGTGATCTCTAAGGCATAAATATAAACAAACAATAATAGCAAGTTGCTTTGACGATTCAGGAAAAATTATTTTTGTTATCTTTAAACCATCAATTTGTTGGATGACCTTAACCGAATTTGTTATTTTATTCATTTAATTTCGGATGATTATTGAATGACAATTTGTTGTCACCTCGTGATTTACAAAAAGAATAGAAAAAAGTTTTTCAAAGTGTATAAAAAAAAATTAATCTATAAAGAAGAATAATGGTTTCAAATTGAAAATTTAATTTACATGAAATTAATTAATTGCATCCTATTATTTATCAGGACATCTTATTTTACTATTTTTAATTTAAATTCGATGCAGTTCTCTTAAGTAATTTCTCATCCCATTCGTTTGAAGTCGATTAATTTTTTTTTTTTTTTTTTTTCTTTTTTGTTTTTGGTTTAATTTTTTTTTTTCATGTACTTTTTTTTTTTTTTTTTTTTTTTTTCTGAATAAAAATCTTTTAATTGAATGAATGAATGAATAGAATATGTAAAGTTTTCATACGTCGCCAAGTTGATCATCGACTTCAAATCCCATGAATTTCATGAATTTCACATAATCGTCGGGTTTTAAAATTATTCGAGTTTCATTGAAGGATTCACCGCATCAAAGTTTCGGAATTAATGTAATTCAATTTAGAAATCAAGAAATGATTATTATATTACGTAACCCTTTTTTTTCTCGAAAAAAAAAAAAAAAAAAAAATCTCAATATCATCGATATGTCACAATAATGATAATGTTCTGTTATTTGAGTAGTTCTTTGGATAAAAACTTACTAATTTAGGAACCCGGATCCGAAAGGATTAGAAGGAAAGGATTAGATAATCGTCGTCGATCACATTACTAAGTAATTGGAGGGGGTAATTAATTGCCATCAAGTTATTAGAAACAGGATTTCAAGTCATCCGATCAGATACAAGTGGTTCATATCATGTAGAAAGAAGAATGTGTGTGCGCAATTAAAAACAATTCCCTTACCGTCCAATCCAATATGTATTTCATTACCAGTTTATTACCTTGCATTAACAGGACAAAGAACATCAAAGGTACAATGTGTTACAGGCGGGAAATGTGTCATGCACAGAGAAAAAATAGAATCAGCTCTGTGTGTGTGTATTATGCGATGTAAATCAAAAATTTCTTTTTTTTTTCCTTTTTTTTTCTTTTTTTTTTTTTTGCGGTCTGTGTAAGTAGATCCACAGGGCATGACGCATGTTTTTAAAAGGGAGCTTTACCTTATTAAGGAAAAAACGCTTATCACGCTCGAAAAGAAATTCCACAAAATTCAAAAATTATCCGTAAGACAGCTTTTGACATCCTCCCCCACATGGTCATATGTAACTATATGATGACAAAATGCCTCAATTTAAGTCACCATGTATGTCCAATTGTGTCGGTAGAAAAATTGCGCACTGATCCGATAAGACAGTGCGTGACTTTTTTGCGGCAATGTAATGATGCTTAAAGGTAAATATATTTGTTTCTGCGCTTGGTAACATTTATATCATCGTGTACTTCCCACATGCGCCAAGAGAGCATTTCATAAATTGGGATAAACATAACGATTAATCATCATCCTTCAGACGGCGGAAGCATCATGATGATAACGAAGGCGATAAGATTTCAATCCGTTAACCGAAAAAATTCTTTTTTATTATTATTATTATTTTTTTTTTTTTTAAAGTGGAACACACTTTCTGACCCTTTAAAAGAATGACTGATGAAGTGTTACGTGTGATTTTTTTTTTTGTTTTGAGGTGGAAACAAAAAAAAAACCACCGATAAGATAACAATTGCACACATAATGTAACACTTTATTAAAGTATATAGATAAGGATTATCAGACGATGTTAGGATCAAATCGAACCATAAATTTTGGTTTCTGGAAGAATTAAAATTAAAATAATATAAATAATATAAATAAATAAATGAATACATTAGTCTAGAGGGTCGATTGATTGTAATTGTTTTGTAACACAAATCATTTATAATCTTATCCTCGTGGATTTGTTATTTTTTTTCGTTTCTTATCTGTATGATAAAAAAAAAAAAATTTTGATCTCAGAGAAAATCTAGATTGATCTTCGAGATGTTTATATTGTAATTTCCGCGAGATGTTTTTTATTTATTATTATTATTTTCCTAAATAACGTCTTCCATTTTGTGAATGAAACTAGGGAAAATCCGGTATGCTGAATAATCGATGATTCAATGAATCAAACGCTCCTTTATGCACACACCTTTTAAAATATAATACGTTCACAAATTAAATGACTCGTTCTAAAGGAAACGCAAAACATGTAATAAAACTCGGAAACTCATTCGATCGAAATGATTAAGGGAAGATTTCCCTTATTTGTTAGTTATGATATAATCTTCGGAGTAACGTCAAATGATGTTCGCTGCTTAATAACCTTTTATGGAGGATTTTTGATTGCATCCAAATAAGGTAAATAATAATAATGATGGATTATTTGATAAATTTCATAATCTGCTGAACGGTCGTTCATTGATTCACGCTTTTTTTTTTTTTTTTATTTTAATTTTATATTTTATTTTATTTTATTTTTTAAACAAAGAATGAAACTGAAAAATAAAAATGAAAAAAAAAAAAAAAAAAATGGACGAAACAATCTGTTTGCGACACCGCAAAATTATAAATTTAGAGGCGGTTATATCAGATTTGCATTTTTCCAACCAATCAATACCAAAGGTGATCATATTTGGGACACAGATTTTATTGGTCTGACATGACGTTGATGTCGGTTTAATTTCCATCCGAGGCCCGCTAAGTAAAAATCATTTCTTATTATCGGAATTTTCTCAAAACGTTTCATTTGGTAATTTCCGAACGTTACCAAATAAGAAAGGATACGAAAAAGCCAAGCCTCCTGGGTGCTTTTTCGCGGGATTTTGAAGAACCAATATATCTTGGTCCGGTCTAGCTTTTTTATTTTTTTTTAAAGAGACATGAAAGACATGGATTATCATTCTATTATTGTTTACATTTTTTTTTTTTAGTAGTACGCTTGGTTATTTACTCAGCCGACCAAGCCGGTTTATCCTCGATTTTCGATGCAAATTGAAATTTGTCACGTAACTTAACCAAGAAGTTGTTCTCTAAAAGAATTTTCATTAAACCAAAAAAAAAAAACAATTGTTTTCCTGGATCATAAATCGATCCAAAAATAACATTTCCATAATGAATTTTTATTGAAGTATCATCACGAGCGTGTAAATGATTTTCTCCTCGTATTATGAGAATTGTTTGATATTTTTTTTTTTTCCTCACCTTTGATGCCATGTCACTCACTGCATCTTCAAAGGCATTCTTTTCACAACCAAGGTATACAATGCGAGCGAAAAAAAATAAAATAAATAAATAAATAAATAAAAATACAAGGAAAAACTAAAAGATTTTGGACGCGTTGATAACATAAGATGGAAATTCCACGTTTCTTCTATTTACTACTTCTGTTATTAATTCTGTTTAATTATTAATATTTTAGTCCATGTGGTTCATGATAATTTCTAATGGAATAAAAAAACATCATTATTTTGATGATTAATTATTGATATCCAATTATTTGTCAATAAATCCTTCATATTATTATTAATCACGGAAAAAAAAAAAAAAAAATAAGTCGGATGCAGAAAGGATAGCGTCGTAATTAACAACACATTTAATGTGTCATTTTCCTCGCGCAATCATTCTTAGTGTTCAACGTGTATCCATAAAAAAATATTAATTTTATATTGACATCATCTTTTAATGAAAGACTTTATTCAATTTATATATTTCAAAACGTTTTTTCAAAGTTACACTAAAGTTGTGAGCCAATCAGATAATTCATTTTATGTCGATTTATTTTCCTTACAAAAAAAAAAAGGTTGTTCGTTTACAAAAGGATGTTTGATTATGAAATCTACATGTTAACGGCTCTCGCATTTTTATTCGTTTTAATTTATTTTTGGTTAAGTGAAAAGCAAGAAAACATGTAGCGAATTCCTCATTTCATCTCCATTCCATCTCAACCTCCAACATTAAAAATCAATCATTTTTCATCATCCTTTTTATTAGAAGAATCATTTCTGCGCCAATTAACGGTCATGATTTTTCTTACACTTTCAAATTTATTAGCGGCACTTTTATCGGAATTAGAACCACCAAGAGTTTGTGACGTTAGATTATTCGTGTTTGATGATGGTGAGGGATTGGTAAACAACGTAGGAAATGATGACGGTAATGATGGTGCAATAGATTGTGATATGTTGATTGATGATAATATATTGGAGTTTTCGGATAATGTCGTATCATCTGCTACCCGTTGTTGAAATTGTTCTATCAATTGTTGTTGTTCATTTCTCCTTAATCCCTATTCATGGTGAAGAAAAAAGCTTTAGAAAATTTCACAGGTCTCATGAATATCAAAAGTAATCAAAATTATACCTTAAGTTCTAATATTTTTTGGAAATTCGTAATGTTCTTGTCGCCAATTAATAAAATATAATTTTCAGATAACCCTTCAGGAGGATCATGTGGTGTAAGGATCATCTTTAATATAGCTTCAATTTTGCCAATTCCTTTATTTACAATCTTTGTAAACCTATCGAAAAGAAAATTTAACCTTGCTTTATAGACCATTTAATATTATTAATCAGGATGATAATACGTACGTTGTTGGCGGTGGCGCCGGATTTTCCATTCCCATAGTTGGCATTTCTAATATAGATGTTTTCAGCGCATGAATATCAAGTAACATCTGTAATAAAGCAATTCATTAATAAGAAAGGTTCTCTTAAAAAAATAAAAAATAAATCAATATATTGTTGTTATTTTCTTGCCTGTTCTGCCCCCACTTCAGATATTGGTTTACATTTTGACAAATTATTTATAATTTTTGATACGAAAGACCTATAAAAATTATATATTTTTTTTAATATCAAAAACCTTTTTTTTTAAAAAAAATACCAATTTTTTTTTCGCTTACTCCACGAATTTATCACAGAAGGATCTAAAATAACGGTTATTGGTGATATCTTTATGTACGCTAACAACACAACGTGTCAAGGTATTGTGAAATAGAGTGACATATTCGGACTGATCTCCAACCGATTCTAAATTGTTCCAAGGTATTTTGGTCATGGTTGTTAATGTCGGTTCGTAACAAGTTTCAATCCCTCTCACTAGAGCCTTAATTGATATAGTTACAACGCTAAATCAAATTAATTAAATTATGGTCAAACGAAATCATCAAATTGAAAAAAACATCAACTTATTTTTGATATTTCTGCCTTACTTTAAGAAACAATCTCGCTCAACGTCCAAATTAATCTTATCTTTATACTCCTCTTGAATCTTTTCTTTTAATTTATCTTCCAACTAATCAAATATAACAATTTTAACAAAAAAGTTCAATAAAATCATTACGAACTGTTAAAAATGCTCACTTGCGGTATCGTATTGTAACAATAATCTGCCGTATTCAAAATTAAACAAATTAATTTCAATTCATCACGCGTCATAGCTCGACGTTCTTCCCTATTTGTAATATAAAATGATCAATTGTCTATATACTCTTTTAAAGATAATGAAAACATGTATAAGATACAAACTTTGGCAATCTTCCAATTAAAACATCATTGGCATAAGTACGAAGCCATTTTGAAAAAACGATACATAAATCATAGAAAGGCTTACGCGTTGATAACTTTGAACAATTAACCAATGTTTCTTTATAATATAAAAACAACTCTATACTGGATTGCAAGACGGATGTTGAGTTATCGTCATCAGGAACTGCCTCCATACGATAAGTCGAAATCATTTCTGCCATATTCCTTTTTAAAGGAAAAAAAAAGATATTTGTTATGAAACTTAAAAAAAAATGAAAGATTCAATTTTAAACGCGTACTTGTCTTCGGCATCAATGTACAGTCCAAGATAAGGTTCAAAGGCTATCGAAATACTTTTATTAAAATTATATTTTGATGAAGTATTTTCCGTATTTGATGCTCGAGGTGGTTTGTCCTATATTACGTATTCATCAATACTAACGTTTTAAATTAACAAATGATCATATATTTTGAAATGTCTACCATATTTGTGAAACGTTTTACTAATTGATTTTCAAATTCAAGTGTCAACTGTAAATTCTTGAGCAAACTTTTAACATCCAATTCGCTTTTAGCTCGAGAAAGTGATTTCACTAAATCTTCCCTTTAAAAATAAATCACAAAATTATTTAATATCTTTTAGCAAGTTTAATTCATTAAAAGTGAATTTAAAAAGACTATATTTTACCCAGTTATATCACAAAATCTGATACAAAGAACTTCACTAACATTCCAATGTAAAGGAAAAATATCGGCATGCACTTCATCATAAATCTTCAATACTCTTTTTATCCATGCATATCGTCTTGAAGTATTATCAAGCGATGCAATCTGGTTGTACAGGTAATTTAGCATCTATAAAAAAAATCCCTTGTTAAAAAAGAAATTTTTTTTTTTGAATACCTCCTCGCTTCCTCGAAATATCCTCTTATAATCTCCTAATTGTTTCTCACAATACCAATTAATAAGATTGTTTCTATTAAGGAAAGAATGAATTGAAAATTTCCAAATTAGAAATAAATTTCATTTTCTCAAACCTTTTTTTTTTTTTTAAAAAAAAAAAAAAAATGTCTTCTTACTTTACATCTTGTCCCATAATATCTATGACTAAACAAGCATCGCCAAGGAGTGCCGACTGAGTCGCAAGACTCCCTTCCAAAGCAAAACTAAGTGATATGTAAATATGTTTAATGACTGTAATAAACCTTAAAAATATTTCCCTAATAAATTTATGCACCTTGATTCAAAATCTTCAAATATTTGTTTTTTTAATTCATTTTGAAAAGTGGCTATTGAAATTGATAATTCGGCTATCTGTTTTATACTCTTGTATGATTTGAAATATGATGCAAGTTGCAAAACTGCCTAGAAACAAAAAAATACAAATTTTAATTTTAAAGAAAAAAAGAATCATTTTAATAAAACTACGATAGCTTACTTGTAAAAGCTGTGAAGTTTCTTTATATTGTTTCATCTTTGCCATAACTTTTAATTGATCCACTGCAGTAACTAGGAAGAGAAAATATATATATGTGTGTGATCTATCATAGAATTGTTTAAATTTAATTTAATTTTTTTTTTATTAAAGATTTATTACCTAACATTTGTAACCTTTTTAAAGCAGTAATTGAAGTAGTTAAATGTCTTTTTGCAAAATCCAGTGACTTGATATCTTGAGTGATCTCTTGTACCATGATTTCGGATTGAGTAGCTTTTTCTTTAATTTGTCTAATCCTTTTAAATAATTCCTATTATACTCCAATACATCAATTGCTTGTCATCATCATCATCAATCAGTAATTATTATCAGATTATTTAAATAATCACCTCAATAGCTTTTTTTGCTTCGGCTACTTCTTCGTAACCTTGCTGACCTCCATTTGTTTGTAATCTAGTATGTTCATGAATTTCCCCTTCCAACTGACGCATTTTATACTGAAGCCGTTTTGTCGTTTCATCGATTGATGCCAATGCATATTCTTTTTTTTTTTTAAGAATTATAATATATCTGTTAAAATTAAAATTATTTCAAAAAGGATTATTTATATTTACCGTTGGGAAGCATTTGATTAATATATTCTATCGGAATAAAATCATTATTATCTATAAGATCATTAGTCTGTAATATTTCACTAATCGAATTTTCTAATTCTGGTGGAAATTTAATAACATCGCTATTAAAATCTTCTTGATGTAATTCATTGTTTTCTTTATTTGATAACATTGTTAAAGAAACCAAATTTTTTTTTTGTAGATCATATTCTTTTTTATTTAATACTGGCATGACGCACTTTTCCAAATTTAGCGTAAAGTAGATAAAAAGAAATGTCTTCCGGCGACACTTGTGATCATCCTCGTGTAGGCTTAGGTGTTTTCGTGGTTCGTGATAACAAATTTCTCCTCGGAAAACGAAAAGGAGCTCACTGCGCCGGTGAGTACGAGCAAATCATCAAATTTATAATTATAATTATTAATCTATTATTGGATATATTTTTTTAGGAACTTGGCAACTTCCTGGAGGTGAATGATAATATGGAAAGGGGAGAAACGCTGGAAAAAATCAATTTTACTTTTATATGCCAATTTTGATTTTTAGGTCAAAATATGTTGATTTTTTGCATTAACTCATTTTTTATTTTTTTTCCAGCCGTTTCCCCTTTTTCTACTGTATATTCTTTTTTACAATAAGTTTTCCGGTTAGTCACTAATGCAATCGAATTAATTTTATCTTTAAGGTAGCCTGGAATTTGGTGAATCATTCGTAGATTGTGCAGAACGTAAATAAAAATTATAATATTGTTATTATTTCTATCTTTTTTATACTTGAGAATAATTTATTTTTATAAAATTAGGAGAAGTTTTAGAGGAGACAAGTCTTGAGATAAAGAATATAACATTTCAAGCAGTGACGAATGATCCAATGCCTGATGAAAATAAACATTTCGTAAATATTTTTATGAGGGCTGAAGTAGTAGATGGAAATGTAGAACCTGTGGTAAACATGACTAATATAAATGTTACAACCTGTTATTGATGAATCTTTAATTTAACGTCAATTTTATATAAAGGTGATGGAACCACATAAATGCGAATGCTGGAAATGGGTATCATGGGATGAATTCATTAAAGGTGGTGTTAACGGTGTATTAGAAAACAAATTAGTGAATCAATATAGACCAATGTTTCAACCAATGGAAACTTTATTAAATGAAAACCCCAACTATGAACCGATTTATAAATTGATAGACTTCCAAAATTGATTTTCTCCTTTTTGAATGTTTCATGAAATAATTCACATTATTCTTCTATTAAACGAATTTGATATTCCTGTAAAACAAATTCTCACATGAATTCATATTTTCTATAGTAATCAATAATATCATTTTGTGATGAATTATTCTTTTTTTTTTGTCTAACAATGCTTATTTGGTACTTGCCAATAGAATTGTGTGTATTTTATTTTAAATTCAAAGTTGAAATAAGAGTATAACAAAAAGGTGAGAAAGATTTTTCACATGTAAACGCCTTTACCTTATCTCTGATAATACAAAATTTATATCGGTTGCTAATACTTTTCGTCCACAACTCTTTCTATAAAATATAGCAAATATTCCCTCTCAAATGAAATAAAGCTCCACACCAGGTTTAGTATTAGAATATCTTGATTCCCATTTAGCAACGCTCCAATCTTCTTCATCTCTAATGGCAATAATAACATCCACCCCATTTTTATAGGATAACCGGTCAGAATTAAGATAAAACTTGAACTTTTTTGAAATGGTTTGTATTATTCCATCAAGACTAATGTCTTCTGGTACGACAACTCCTCCACGTTCTACATACATGAAAAATTTCACATATATCTGTAAAAGATAATTTTCATCTTCCCTAAATAAATCATAAAAATTTTAAATATGGATCGAAAAGTATAGAAACTTTATCATACCTCAATTGAATTGACAGGATCGCGCTAATAATATAAATTTACATAAGTGAAAAAGATCTTTCATTTATAAATAATTAGCATTTGAAAAACTCATACCCGGATGCTCGAAATTTTGTAGGTTGCTAAAAATATACCAAATCTGTACTTATCAATAATATCTTCAATCGTAGTCAAACTTTCAATTGGAACATTATTACGCGGTGTAATAATCAATGATGTCGCCTTTTCTAACAAACCGTTGGTTGGATCTCCTTTTACCTCTACGTCGTTTTGATAATACTTTTTCACATATAAAAAAAAAAAATTGATACGGTTGGTTTTGATTTGATGAATTTAATGAGCTATCAAAATATTTACCCTTCTGTGAAAGTTAAGTACGAGGGAGACTTCTAGTTCTTTGTATTCTGCAATTCTGAATCCTTTCAGCTAGAAAAGATTTATCTTTGAGAAAATTACAAATAAATAACTAAAAATGGGGGGAGGCTTAAAGCTTTAATATACCTGATCGAACGGGATGAAAATTTCATCCTTTAAATCGTTCAACCACAAGCTCATTTCTTGCGTAGATTCATGAAAACGTACTGCCATTCTTCCATCAGTGTAATAATCAAGAGAACCGTTTGTAGGTAGGATTTGGATCTTTTTACAATCCATACGATGATAATCTTTGGACTTTTCTTTATTATTTGTGGATGGACCTAATGTTTGTCATTTTTAATTTGAAAAAAATATTTACGCGTTTATATGAAATTTATATCTAAAAATCGTGTAACAAAGAAAATAATGATTTGCCTGATATTGCGCTTTTGCTACTAGTACTCGCACTAGTACTAGAATAACTTCCTCGGTCACTCATATTTTAATATTGAAAAAAAGGAACTTAAGAAGAAAGGAAGGATCGAATTTTTTCGTTTCACATGCCCATTTCAATGTTGCCATTATGCAGATCTGTCCAATTGCAGATATAATGATCAAAAATTATAAAAGAATGTAAAACAATTTTTCAAAATTAAATAAATTAAATTATTAATCAAATTTTTAAAATAATATTGTTGCTAGCTGGTTATTATTACTTATGACTTCTTTTTAAAGTTTTAATAATTTACACACCTTATTTGTGTTTTATTTTTTAGTTGCTTTTCTTAATCATAAAAACATATTTGAATTGATTATTAAAATAACAAATTAATAATCTATTACTTTTACATTGTGTTAAAGACAATATATATATTATAAATTCTAAATTGATAATATATAATTTAACTTTATACAATATATTTAATTACTAAAATGAAATACATTTAAATTTTATTAAATCATTATATTATTACTATTTATTATTATTAGAATTATCATTTTTGTAAGTTTAAATTAAAATTTAATAGTTTAAACTTATTTAAAATTTTAAAATTTAATTAAAATAAAACTATATTAAAATTTTATTAAAATTTTATTAATAATTTATAAAATTTAATAAAAAAATAAAATTATATAATATATTGATCCTTTATTTTAAAATACGTAATTTGTATAAGATTATGATGATCTATATTATTCAGATTTAAATCAGTCATATAGGGTTTAAAAGGGTTAAAAGAACTTTTTCTAGAGCAATTTTTAATCTTATAATTTGAAAAATCACATTTTTTATAGTATATTTCAAATAAAACTATCTAATACAATATGTTTCCTTTAAATTTTTATTATTATGTTAATATAATGTTAAAGTCTTCTAAAGAAATAAAATTAATAAATATGTATAAACTAAAATAATATTATTGATCATATAAAATAAATAAAATCTTGTTTAAATATGGGTTAAAATATCTTATAAGAATCATTAAATCAGTATTAAGAAAAAAAACCAATTAATTTAAGTTCAAATTATTAATAAAAAATAATTTGTATAGAATCTAAATTAGTAAATTTAACACGTAATGTGAATTTTAAAAATAAGACAGATTAGATATCATTATAAATATTTTAATTATATCACTATTTTTATAAATGATAAATATTGGTTGAAATCAAAAAAAATAAACATGTAAAAAATCAGCCTAAAAATCAGCAAATAATCAAAATCAATTTAGTCAATTTGTATATATTAAAGAATTAGTTAAATTTAGCTAAATTTAACCTATTTTATTTATAACTGATTAATATATGAGGCCTTTGCAATAGAAAGGGAGAAAACTCAAAAAAAAATAAAAAATGAGTTAATAATAAATCTGAACAAATTATAGTATTTAGAATATTTTTGGCTTATAAACTAAAATTTTAATTTTTTTAGAGTTTCCTCCCTTTCTATTGTAAAGACCCTATATAATCATTTTTTATTATAATCATACTTTTATTTTTAATTCTAAGAGATATGATAATAAAAAGGAATAACTATATATTAAAAATCAGCTAAAATTTAATCTATCTTATTTATAAACAATTAATATTTACAGTAGCTATTAAAAGAAATATAAGTATAATTAGTTACTTTGAAAGTATAATTCATCAATCACAAATGCTAAACTATAATTTTGTACTTATTTAAAAGCACAAATCTTAAAGGATATCCTGACAAAATTTAGTATTAAATTAATAATATTAATTTGTATAACCTAATAATTTACATTAAAATTTCTTATATAGTAAAATTTAGGCATAAAAAATTTTTTTAGCATATATACTACTACAAAACTAATACTAGATTCTGATTCTCCTTAGTGTAACAATTTTAATAAGCTAAATTTCATTAAAATTAAACTAATTAATCAGAATTATTGTATAGTAAAGATTAGTAAATTATTATATAAAAAGGGTTTGATTACTTTTTTTATAAACTCTTTCTCCTTTCTCCCAAATTTTTTTAAAAACAAAAAATTTACTTAAGAAAATAAAACTTATTTAATCATACTTATTTGTTATTTAATTTATAGTTTTATATATTTTAGATAACTTTTATTATATGAAAGAATTTTAATAATATATTTCAATAAAAATGGATTTTAAAAAAGGAAAATAATCTACTAAGAAAAATAACAATAACAATCATTTTAACCCCATAATAGTCAACTATCCCTATCACTTTTGAGTCTAAAAATAATTAGAATCTTTTTTAGTTTTAATAAAGATATTGTTAAAAAACCTTTTACTATTAAAGACGTTACCTTTGAAAGTTACGAACTTATCTTGTCTCTAAAGTCTTAGATATAAATAAATATATATCTATTGAGAAAGAAAACAACATAGAGACTGATAATTGCAACTTCATTAAAATTATATATTTAATACTATTTATTTACATTACGATTATTAGCAAAATGATAAAAGAATTCTCACTAATAATAATATCAAGATAATTAATAATATTTTGCGTAGCAAGATGCATTTAAAGAAATAAATATCTAATGCATCAATTTGATTAGATCAGTGATCATTTATTTTGATAATCAAAAATCTATAAAATTAGCCCTAATTATGAAATTTTTTGATTTAAAAATTGATCAACTGATTAAATATACAATTTAAAAGAAAAACATGCAATTCTCACAATATATTCTGTATGTTATTGATATTCACCTCAGTATTAAAAAAGACATTCTTCTCATATTTTTTTCATATATAAAAAAATCATTAATATTAAATTATAAATATGAGTTCTTTAGCAATATACTTATATTATATATGAGATATAAATGAAGGATAAAACTCTTTAATAACAATCAAAACTTAGACGAAACTATATTAAAATCATAATAAGGGATACAATGAAATCCATTCAATATGATGAAAACTAAAACTGTCAAAACTATATTAATAATATAGAAAAGGATATAACAAAATTATTTTGAGGAGGTTTTGGCAGGCATCTATAATATGAGACATCTAAAAATATTGAATTATTTTACACATAGTAATCACATTATCTCTTTAATAATTACATTTGAGTTTATCTGACTTTTCTTACTTCAGATCAAGTTAAACTCTATAATAATTTTAGAATAAAACTCACAAATTGTCTATACAATATTTTTATTGTGATTTACAAAATATTATTTTTACTATAAATATGAAATCTTATTATATTTCTAGATCTAACAATTACAAATCCAGACCTTTTGCCATTCTTTATTTTGAGAATAATTCTACCCTTAATGATATTATAAAAAATGTCTATTCCTTTAGCAAACATGAATTACACTAATATTTTATTAAATCTAAATGCTACTATAAATGTGATTCTCCTATATATATAATTATAAAATGTCTTTAAATTTAACCATCCTTCTATGAAGATAATATTGATGATTCTAAGCTTTCTTGATATCAATTATCTTTAATTTAACATTTATATAATTGATTTAAACCTATAGATTCTTGATCACTTATCAATAGATATAATATTTAAAATAATTGTAATCATTAAGATACTAAAAATTATTTACAAGTTTTTAAAATAAAAAATATAAATAACGTTTTATCTATTGGTGATAAAAGCATAATTATACTACTGTTAAATGCATCTTATTATAACAAATCTAATGAGCTATATTTTATCTTTCTAAGACTACTATATGGAAGAGTTTCTAGAAAAATCAGGTTCTAAGAAATTTTTGACTTAAATTAAGAGCTTAATACATTTTAATCTAATAAAATCAAAAGCTAAAATGCAATAAAAATCTCAATTTTATTAAAAAATTTCTATAACCTGATTTTCCTAATAATCAACTTATATGATAAAAAAACTTTAGTATTAAATTTGAAATAGTTAAAATCGAAAAATTAAATTTTACTATGTGTTACTTTTTTTAAATCAAAATTATCACTGTAAATTTGATCAAATTTAGTAATATTTATTTCAAGCTTAGTTAAAAATTCATATATAAAAAAATAAAAAATTTATGATTTTATTATTTAAATTTTTTAAAAATAGTAAATTATCAAGAATTAACTATTTTTGAATATAGAATAATTATTAGACTTCATAAAAATGATTATAAAATTACTAACATTTCTAAATTTTAAATATACTTAAAAGTATTTATCAGAGTGTCATTAAAAATTTTGTGAAGAAGATCTTACAGATGTTCTTCTCGTTCAAGAAAACAAATATAATTATTTTGACTGAATTGAAAAAAAACTATTTGTTTTAGATAATAATAGAAAAAAGTACTTAAAGTGGTATCAAGAGCATAAATTTTAGGATAAAAAATAAAATAATATAATTTGAAATAATGAATTTCAGATTTTTTTATTTAAAAATGATAGACAATAATAAATTTAAAGAAAATCTTATAAAAAATATGATGTAGACTGATCAGTTCTTATAATAAAATCAGGTAATAATGGAGTAATGGTTTAGGGTTATTTTATTAAAAATAGGCTTAGCTTTTTAGTAATATTAGATAGAAAAATCACAAAGATAATTATAAAATTTGTTAGAAATAATTTATTATCTTTTATAGAAGACTTGAAGAAAGATATTTCCTATACTTTTCAAGATAATAATACTTTTACAGTGGTCAAAAAAGTAATCAGAATCACATTTTTATTAATTAGATGATAAATAAGTGTCATGAACACATACAAATTTATACACATGACCTTTATGATCCCGTAAATAAGTTTACTTAAGGACACTCAATAGGGTATCTTATTACCATCACCCTTAATTACTAGATTTAGCCTCGATTTCATACTACGAACTAAATTAAGAAAAAGTTTTGGTTCAATTCCCTCCTATTCCTCTTGAATTATTTTACAAAAAACATCTACAGTAACTAGTTTTTTTTAAGAACCAGTTTGTTAACCTTTTTCTTCACACGTTCCTTCAAAATCAACTATAAATTTTCGATTAGGTTT